CTTTATTTTGTACATCAAGAAGAGGGGCTAGGGAAGGGTAAGTGGAAGGAGGTGAGGGAGGAATGGGGCACGAGCCCCCAATGGGAAGGACTGGGCTGGCTCTGCGGGCTTCTGGGGGTGGAAGCTCTCCTGCAGCCCCCCAATTGCCCCCTCTTCCCAGATGGCAGCCTGCGGCAAGTGCAGCCGGGCTGATGGCCGAGTGCTGTGATGTGCCCAGTGTGGGCACTCAGGGCACTCCAAGCCAGGACTGCTTTGCAAGCGGGGCACCCCTGAGAACTGTCTGTCCAGGGTGGGGTTCGGGACCCTTTAAGCACAGCCCTCGGGTAGCCTGAGAAAGCATCTCCACGCTCTAAGTCCTCCTCTGATGCCCTGCCGGCACTGCTTCCGGCCATCCTTAACCCCGCTTCAGGGTCCACTTAATGTGGATGCGCTAGTTCGAATTAGCAAAACGCTAATTCGAACTAGTTTTTAGTTCTAGCTGCGTTAGTTCGAATTAGCTTAGTTCGAATTAACTAAGTTAGTTTGAATTAGCGCTGTAGTGCAGACATACCCTAACAGATTTAATTGGGCATAAGTCTTTATGGGCAAAGATTTGGGTGCCACAAGACTCCTCAAAGTCATGACAGTTGCTATTAGTTTTGTAATATCTGAATGCTTGGTGCTAGTAGCTCACTTTCTTTTTGTTCTGAAGAGTTCTTCTCCTGCCAGTAAAGAGAAACTACTGGATATAACTTTGTATTATTTTATCATTGATGTACAATTATTAGAAAACTTTAGTGAGAACCATCCCCCAACCTGGCAATGGAATCTTTTTTTGCTGTGTTCTTCTTACATGTTAAACCCGTGGATGAAGTAAGGACATCATGCTCTCCTTTGTTCTGGGATTCTTCTCCTTGGTTGGGCCACACATTAATCACAGATGTAACTGACAGATTTAGGGTCTGCCCGTTTCACTCAATGGGAGTTTTGCCATTCACGTCAATGAGATCAGGGCAGGATCTTGAAAGCCTTCACGCGGCTGAGTGCCCTCATCTCCCACAGAAGTGACCTTGCAGGAAGCAGTCAGCATCTCTCGGCTCAAACCTTAAGGACAACTTTTGACAAGTGCTCGGTGCCTCATGGGAATCACTGCTGTCTGCTTGTCCTCAGTGTTCACTGAAGGTAATGAGAGCTCTGGACGCTCCACATCTGCAAAACAGGCCACTGAAAAAGGTGCCTGCATGTGCATTTAGGGGCCAGATTTTTAAAGGTATTTAGATGCCTCTAGATACAAATAAATGCCAAAAGGGATTTTCAAAAGAACCGAGCCGCCTATCTCCAAATAATTTAAATGAGATTTAGGCAGGTTCTTTTGAAAATACCACAAGGCAGCTATCAGCATCTTTAGGTGCCTAAATACCTTTGCAGCGCACGGGGAGGGATAACTCAATGGTTTGAGCAGTAGCCTGTTAAACCCAGGGTTGTAAGTTCAATCCTTGAGGGGGCCATTTAGGGATCTAGAGCAAATCTGTCAGGGATGGTACTTGGTCCTGCTGTGAAGGCAGGGGACTGGACTTGATGACTTCTCAAGGTCCCTTCCAGCTCTAGGAGATAGGCATCTCCGCACCAGGTTTGAAAATTTTTACCCAGGTACTGATCCCCACAGGGTTCTCCTGAGATTTAATTCAACTGGTCTGGGAAAGCTCTTGGAGTTCTTGGAATGTGTCATAGAAGTGCAAGTATGATATTTTTAGCTCCTACCTTTAGAGGGTTAGATAGTATCTCAGCTATCATAACTTCCTACTGACTTAGGAATGAACAATAATTCCCACTTTGAAAAGCAGATCCAGTGATGCTTCAGTTTCAGACAACAAAGCCATAATCCGCCTGTTACAAAGATATATACAGTAAGGAAAAGGATCATTCGTCCGATGTCTAACCTCATGACAGAACATGAAAACAGTGGTGGTGTCTTAGATGGTCATGACCAATACTCTACAGGTGCTTAGTTTATAAAAATCAACACTCTGAATTGCACTCCTGAAGCCAGCATAGTGGTATGGGAGTAAATGCAATATGTACCCTATGGATAACAATTCACACCGACAGTTGTGCCCTGTAGCAGATGAAGCTTTGGAGTGGTTTTCAAGGGTAACCCAATGAGGGAGCACCCAGAAACAACACATTCAGGTACAGGTAACTATGGTGAGGGAGCAATGGGTATTGCTTTCTGGCTAAAGCCAGACAACATACAGCCACGTTTCTAATAAGCCTTGGGGTTTTCTTTTGGTTAAACCCAACAGTGGTTCTGACAAGCTATGCATATGATTCTTCACTCTTGACTGAGGAAAAATTACCATGGATTGCAATGTACATCTGAGCCCTTTTTGTTGGGCAGGGGAAAAAAAAAAAACAAGAGTGGGACACCTAAAATGCCAACACTGCACCTGTCATTAAATGAGTTCAGAATCAGGTGGCATTTTTTATTTCTATTATGCTTTTGTAGGTGTCTCTTTTTCAAGCCTGACCCCTGCATACTGTAAAGACAAGAACAGTTCTTATGCTTCCAAACAGCATCATGGGAGTAAAGCAGGTAAGGGCGTAAAGCTCATGGGAGTAAAGCAGGTAAGGGTGTAAAGCTCATGAGAGTAAAGCAGGTAAGGGTGTCTAGTTTGCTTTGATCTAGCTCGTGCTCCATTTTGCACCAGGTATAAACCCAATTCATTTTAGTCATTTAGTCCCGGTCTACATTACATCAGAAAGTTGAAGTAAGATATGCAACTCCAGCTATGCAAATGCTCACATTGGCTTCCCATACACCTTGTGAGGAGCAGGAATACTGGTGCCGACAAAGTTGCCCTTTGAGTTTGATCTATACTGCATCTGCTAAATCGAACCCTGGAAGATTGACCATAGCAGTGTCAATCTTCCATGTAGTGTAGACATACCCTTAATGTTTATATTACAGTAGCACCCTGATTTCTGCAAACGTAAAGATGCGGTCTCTACTCCGAATAGCATATCATCTCCCTGGAAGCAAAGTGGTGAGCATAGATCAGCACATAAAAAGTCAGAATAAAAATGGGATGTAGCTACATCTTTATTTTAGTGCATTTGTATGTAGAATGAAAAATCTTCATTTCTCAAATGCACTGTTGAGTCCACATATCTAGGCAGCTCTTCCTCTTCCTCCCACACTGTTGAGTCCACATATCTAGGCAGCTCTTCCTCCCCTTCCCCATTCCCTGTATTCCAATATCATGGTGCACTGGATCCAAAGGTAAAGTGAGGAGTCAAAATAAATTCTAACCTGATGAGTTTTCCCTCACACAACCACCTTTTAGCACTTGTCAGTGAGGTAAGGTGCCTTAAAAACACCTCTCTCATCAGCATCAATAGAATTAGGGAATAAATTACATACTTTAAATAGAGGTAAGTCAGACTCTGAGCCATTTGCTTCCCAGAGCTTTCAGTGTGCGCAAGACATCTGTGTTTTGTCTCATTTTTCGCTCACACCCCAGAGAAAAGTCTGCCAAAATTCACAGTAAGAAAGGCAAGAACCAGAGAAAGAAGAAATAACCAAAGTTCACAGTTCACATCACTCTATGTAAAAATTCGTGGGGTCTGCATGATTTTTCATGCTGATGTAGCATACACACATTTTTATCCACCGGCAGCTTGTCTCTGCTGAAGTCAGTGCATTGTTCAACAAGGCTGAAGACTGCTGATGTAAAATAAAATCCTTCTTTTCTTCCTTAGCAATTAACCAGATTGCTGTTCCGCTTGACACAATTTGTTTTTACAATACTGTACTCAGAAAGGATTAGCAAGCTGCTGTTTGAAACACCTGCTTCTGCAATGTGCACGTTGTGTCTTTAGTTCTCCAGTAAAGACCATTCTCTGTTGCAGCACCATCAATTTCCTTGCTCTTGTTTTGTTTCTTTCTAAGGCCAGGTTACAGTGATACTGACATAGTTTTGGTATGGCTACAAATAATCTGTTGTCCTTCCCCTCTTGAGTAATTCGAAAAGCATACTTGTGCATATGGTCAGTCAATTCTGTTAATTTCAATGGATGAATCCAGTTCATCACATTAAGCAGTCCAAAAATAAAAAGGAAGAAAAAGAAAGAGACTAAATCCCAAATAGGCATCTTTGGACGCAGTAGTGCAAAATATTTTTGCTGTTTTTTTTCTGGTCATATTGCAATAATCTCAGTCTTCAAGTCTTTCCTAAAATAGTAGACCTGCAAATTTGAAACATTATAATGATGAAGATAAAACAAATAAATGTGCATACCCAGTGCTTTTTGGTTTGGGTTCATCCCAAATTATTTGTGAGGATTTGTTTTAATCTACAGCCTATTTACATTGGTCCAGCAGCATAAAGGAGCCTTAAAGTAGATATAAATGACACTCCAGCAGTGTTTTACATCCACTTCCAGGCACCTTCACACAGACAGGCTAGTGTAAATGACAACTGGGTGCTTTATATTTACAATGTAAAATTTACATTAGGACTATTATTTTGTCAATCCATAGCTTTGCAGACTACACCCTTAAGCTGAGAACACCTTCAAACACAATCAACAAGACACATTATTTGATGTCAGTTTTATTAAGAAAGTTTCAAACTTCAGGCCCAGCTAGTTTAATTCTTGACTATCAATGTAGTACATGTATTGTAATTATAATTTTATAAAATTAACTCTTACCTCAAGGATTTCCATCTTTCTTTTTCAATTTGGTTCTCCGGGCTTTCACTTTCATAGGAAGCCAGATACAAACCTAATAAAAAATGAATTCAAACAGCATCAGGAACCCCAAATCCTTTCACCATTCCAAACTATAGTTGTTTCTGTAAGTTTTGCTGGTACATGCAATCTTCCTCATCTAGTGTCACTACTGTACCACACAATAAGCAAAAAATGGTTTTAAAAATCCAAGGGAGGTGAAGTGCCTAACTCTCATCCTGCTGCTAAAACCCCATTTATGCCTTTGAAAACCTGCCCTCAATGCTTTCCAAAAAAGTTAAATTAATCAAGGTTTGACAGCTGAAGAGACAATTTCCCAGGCTTCTACATTAAGTTCACATCATTTAACACTGAATGTAATACCCCTCCTCCCCCACCTCATGTTCATCTGCAACCTCTACTAGTTCTTTGAATGTAATACCCCCCCCCCCCCCACACCTCATGTTCATCTGCAACCTCTACTAGTTCTTTTTTTTCATTGAAACCCCCCCCCCCCCCCCAACCTCATGTTCATCTGCAACCTCTACTCTTTCTTTAAAAGACAAGGCAAGTTAAACAAATATATTAGGTCAGAATGACTGTATAGCAGCCAGAGTGAAAAAAACCACAATGCAGAAGTGACACCCTCATCACATATATAGTCATATAAACTGGTCTAAGTTAATAGCTCGAACTACAGGATGCATTGTGTAGTGCAAAAGTAAAGGTCCACATTAAAGATTCCATCTGTATGAGCCTATTGCACTCTGGGTGAATTACCATTGAGCTTGCTTTATGAACTTTTATAAGTAGGCCATAATTTGCATTCATGGGCATTTTGACATTACACTGTTTAGTTATGCTTTATTCTGTAACACCAGTCACCTCTGTATTTTATTCTGTGATGTAATTCAATAATGTTTTAATATGTTCAAGAGTAATATTGCTCTGTATTGTGTCATGCAGAGTTTATTTGTTTTATTTGACGGGTCAGCGTTGTCTCTCTTTTACTCATGGCTGGTCTTTTTGGAATGCACTCTACCTTTGGCAGTAGAGTTGTATGCCTGGCTTCTATTGAGGGCATCTAATGAAGCCAGCAGGA